CTTTGGAATCAATCAGTTCCGCAACAAAACTCTAAATTACACAGAACTAGTAACATATTGACTTCATATGCTACAGGAAATACTTCGTTCTTCACGTCCTGATATACGAGAAACCTCTGCCAGGCAGTGAGTCTTAAGACAAAAACCAGTCATCCTTCCGGTCAAAATAGCTACGCTGTGGCCTGACGTGGCAGACGCCAAAATCACACTGCTGTCTGCATGCCCCATGACAGCAGTAACATTGAGCTGTTTCTCATGCATCACTAGCGGTCGTCTATCATGATGTTTCTTTCTTCATGTAAAACGTGCACAAACAACAGGGTGGCTATCAAAACAGCACATAACCTCAATTTAGGTGTGACATTTCTAATAAACAAACTGAAATGAAAGCACACAACCTCATGAATTCCCGTGTTCACCTAACGATGTCATGGCTTTCCTAGTTCACATAATTTATTAAAATAAAACTGATTTCACCGAATGAAATAGAAAATTTCCTGTTTCAATTGCCATTACTAACAGACATCATGAGCCAAAGGAACTTCTGTTACAATTGTTATCCAAATAAAAACACTTAATTACTTTCCTCTTTTGATAAAACACCTGAATTATTCGTCAAACTTCGATAAGGTGAAGTGATAAAATTCCTTTTCTCATTTTGTAGTATCATGTATTCACCTGATAATGATTTTTTTTTACTACGATACAAGTTCCACATGTTGAACAAGTTTGCTCTAAAACGTTACTTAATTTTTTTCTAATACATTGATTAAATTAAAGGATTTCGAGGCGAATAACGTCTCTCATAATCACCGATGGGATATTTTACCACAGTGTGGAGTTTTCGCCATCATTAAAGCTGTTTTATGAAACACATGAAATTCAAGTAGGTGACATGAATTACAAATCTGTTTACAGTGATTATTTAGATTTGTTTGCTAGCATTCAGCTAGCGAGATTCGTACGTTTATCTAAAAAAACATCTGATATACATAACGTTTCTTGCTGCCATGTGTTTACAATAATCAACAAGTAAGGAGTACATCCATATAGAGAAGACAGAAGTGATGAAGATACCGCACCACCACCATCAACAACAACAACAAACTCCAATCACCATCAACGCGAGAAACTTAAAGGAAGTAACCTCCTTCACTATCTAGGAAGCACTGTCTCAACTACAGGCGGGACGGACGAGGACGTCAAAGTCAGAATCGGAAAAGCTAGACAGGTGTTCATTAGCCTGAAACCAGTGTGGAGATCCTCTGCACTCAGCATGCGGAACAAGATACGGATTTTCAACACCAACGTCAAGTAAGTCAGTGTTTCTGTATGGTTCAGAGACTTGGCGCGTCACGAAAGGCATTTCCAATAAACTACAGACATTCATCAACAACTGCTTACGCTGGCTCGCTACTGAAGATCAGATGGATTGCCAGAAAGAATAAGCAACAAGGAGCTCTGGGAACGAACCAACCAAGAACCTATCACGCAACAAATATGCACTGCAAGAAATGGAGATGGATTCGGCATACACTGAGAAGGCCGACTGGGGAAATCACGCGTCAGGCTAGTCACTCGAGTGGAATCCCCATGGGAAGCGACGAGTTGGGTGTCCGAGGTGAGGGTGACATGGAGGAGATCGTGCGAGGAGGAAATGAGAGGTTGTGGGCTGTCGTGGAACCAGGTTCAAAAGATCTCAGAGAACAGAGGTCACTGGAGACGTGCTAGTGAAGCCCTATGTTCCACTAGGAACTCAAGGGACTAATAATAATAATAATAAAAGGAGTACATCCGAGTAGTTTCTGTATAATAACATTATTAGTGGAATCGCTGCGATGAAATAGATACTACCAAGTGAACTGATATGGTACTTATGTTTAAAAAGCAAACAATAGAGTGGTTTGCGTTAACACAGCAAACGGAGAGATGTCTGGTTAATTTCAAACCCTGTCAAATTACGCATATTTTTTTGTGATTGATAAAGCATATAACTATTGCAAGGACTGACATCAGCTGAAGTACCATTGGAAATTTGGGAGCTCTTAACAGCTGTTTCGTTGTAGTATGAGACACCTTAGTGGTTTTTAACTTTTTTCATTCAGTGTTACATCGGAAAATGAAGTAGGAACAGGATTCGGTTAGAGATCCTTATAACTTTGCAGCGATAACTCTGATACATACTCTGGCCATCATTTATCCGAATATTATTAAAGAAGTCCAGTAAACTCAAGGTATTGTAGCTTACATGTACTTACCCAGTGACCCAAAGAAACATAGGACCCAAAATAAAGCTTTATAATAGTTCCCTCTGAGTGAAACAGTGATAAAACTTTATGTCCTTATGAAATTCACTTGCTACAATTTACCATTGGGAAAAACAATAAACATCGAAGTTATGGATAAACTTGTGGGTCACTAGGTGTCATAATTTACAGAAACAAAAGGAAGCCGACAATCGGATCAGCAGAGAATGACAATTGATATTTGTGGCTTAAATGAATGGTGTTTTTGGTAATGTTATACTCCTTAAGGTGGATGTGTTAGTTACTGAACCACCAAAACACAGTTAACTCCCCCAGTAATGTCTGTTAACGTCGCAGGACTGAATTTCTGTTGAAAAGTAAAACTTTTGAATACAAAGCAGTTATGATTCTTTGGATCATTTTTCACTTCAGTAATCGCATAACAGTTATGTGAAAATTCCATTTACTGGTTTGAATACTATACCTTCATTGTCAAAATATATGATGTGATAGCTAAAGACAGCTATTCTTAGGTGTTTCTCTTATCAAGATCTCTCTAGGTATATCATTGAATATCTGGATCTTAAACTGTCATAAATATATTAGTATGAAAGTCAATCTAGTTTGCCACACATAACTTTGACATTAATATGGACAGTTTCAAGAATTTTAGTTAATTCAACAGTCGAAAAAAAGTATTTGTATGTAGGTATCCGTCAGTGCTTATTGCACAATAATCACAGTCTAAAAGTAATGTGAGTATCACACAAAGATTTCAATGTAGTAATCCCTTCACATACATCAGCCTTCAGAACACCATTTATCGACTGATGGTTTCAAATGAATGTCGAACTTTACTGCATAAAGAAGTATGTCAAAGTCGTTCCTCCAAGGTTCAAAACAGGTTTTGCTGATGAGTTCTGACAAGCAAGAAATTATATCTAAAACTTTTTTTCAAACACTAAATACCGATACTGATTGTTTCGTTTAAGATATATGTAAAACAGTAAACTAGTTATGGTCAGATCTCTTCTAGTTAGTTTCAAATTTTACATATATGATAAACAGAACCAATGTTATAACTAACGCAACACGAAAGAACTATATTCCGTATTTTTTCTAACAACAAGAAACACGTAGCGGTTATTTATTCAAGGGATTCAATTTTCTAAATGCCAGTAAGTCATCATTCTGCATGTTGTTCATAGTACTGTATTGAGCTACAGTTAATAAGGAGAGTATTTGTTAACTAATTAACTGTATCGCTATCACAAAAAGTTATCATTTCTTTCAATAACGAAATAAATGGAACATTTTTCAAGTTATTGGTCATCTAAATAAATTACATAAAATTTGTTCAAAATGGAGGTTTAAAAAATGTCTATATGATCACAAGCAGAAGACTTTGGTAAGGGAGTATATTAATGTTGCAAATTCTGATTATCTTAAACTATAAAATTGTAAATTGATTCTATGAAACAGATTAATTTTTAGTTAGTTATTGACGAAAAATAGCCTCATCCCCTTACAAAGTAGGATATAGTTATTGAATAATTAAACTCTACAGTAATCATTAACTGTAATTACTTATGATAGGTAATTTAACTAATTATTAGGTCTTTCCACTTTAAATGCAACAGAGTTTTAGATGAAGAATTCAAGCGTTAATATCCTACCTTAACAGCCGTCAATATTTAACCTTAAAATGCCAAGTTTTGTAGTCTAATAACTTCGTGATCATACCATATCACTTGATCAGTACATTCGATTAAGATTTACTAACAATAAGACATTTCTTCTTTAGTCCTTAACTCTAGTTGTCTTCTCACTAATATCCTAAAATTTCGAGTACTGTTTAGAGAGTACTCAATGATACTTACGCTGTCTACAGATTCTGGTATAGAAACTGATAAATAGCTCAGATTCACAAGACCAGCAATATATGCTTGAGTAAAAAGAGGATTGGTATTCTTTAAGTTGTATAATATTTCATTATTTTAATTGAAAATACTTTCATTTATGTTCAATATCTTAACTAGTGAAAAACTCAATATGGGTAATTTTTTATTGAATTAGAGTAGACAACGACCAAATTGAAGTAACTTAATAAAAATTTATCAACCTAAAATGCTCATATGAATAAAATTTGGTCAACATTCTTATCATATGCTATATAATGGAGTTCATATCACAGGTAGAAATGTGAGTATTTGTACACTGACTTAAAAAGCATATCAGATATCAAATTATGGATAGAATTAATTCAGTCATTCTATTGTAGTCTATTTGGCAGTGGATTCCACTACATTGGCTTTTGAAATCGTGGTTACTGTGTTCGAGTCTTAGTGAGAATAACATCATTTACCGGGTTACAGGTACATTCAGCTTACGAGTTCCAAATAGGACGAAGTATGCCTTCTGGATTCCATTACTAGATATCAAATAGGGTACAATATAAAGAATATCCAGGCAGTGTCGGTGCATCCATACATGACCCCATTTACCAACAGAGGTCGAGTAGTTCGACTTAGTATAACAACAGGAAATTTATAAATAGCAATAAAGCAACTCAATCATTCATTTGATCTCTCTCATAGACACATACTTATCCCTTTCTTTCTCCAAAACTATCGCTATAAATCACCATAAGATATAAAAAGGACGAATACACGGTAGGCGACCTAATTGGCGCAAAAACAGCGGTTGAATAATGCGAAATTGTTAAGTAAATATAGCATAATTTAAATGACTTACCGACTACAGTCATCCATGGCCATATGTGTGTTGGAGATAATGATGATCTGACATTATTTTCATTACAACCAGTAGTATTGTTAGCATGATTTGTATTGTTTCTGTTATTCTCCATCTGATGATCGCTATTGCCTTTATTCAAGTGTCCACATGGCGTTGAAGACGGTGATATCATATCACTACCATCTAAACATAATTCTCTATTGTGTCGACTAAGATTTAAGTTGGGTGATACACCAAAATTGGACATTCCTGTGTTAGCGACCATATAATTAGTAGCGGCTGCTGCCGCAGCAATGGCTGCCACAGCGACTGCTGCATTGTTTGACGATGTAACTGTCATACTCTGCTCCATATGTTTCATCATTACAGGTGATGTTATTCTGATATTAGTGTTATTATTAACGCTACTATTCACACTGCCTATGGATGCAGCTTCAACTGCCGCAGCGGCGGCCACTGCAGCTGCTGTTGTACTTGTAAAATGTCTGTACGTTGACTTGAAATTCTCATCGACCGTTTGATTACAAACAGGATTAACAGAAGTATTTGTACTCACGTTTGTAATGCAAGAAGTATTATTAAGTGATGTGGCAACAGAATTACGAAAATCTAAAAAAGGATTCATCATGTCCATACGCTGATTCTCAGAATTGATTATGTCTGAAGTGGGCTGTCTTAAAGGATGTCGCATTGATGAATTCAGTAAGTTGAATGATGAATAATTTGGAACCAAAGGATGAAATGCACCCATATCACATGTCTGATGTGATGGTAAATGCCTGTTATAATGTGATTGTATGCCACTAATATTATTGTCAGTAGAGGAATGTAAATGGTCATGTGGTAAGTTTCCAGGTTCAAGGGTACTATTGGTATTACGTAACATTGTCCTGTTACTATTACTTATTTCAGAAATAGGAGGGTGAATTGAACCAGTTGATAACATATCTGTAGGATGTGAAACATTCAATCCTGTATCAAAATGATTGAATTCTGAACGTGATTTGAAAGTGTTCATCTTCATATTTTCAGGATTATTATCATTTGCATTACTATTAATATCATTACAACGATTAGTCACATTGTTCATAGATGCATTAAAACAATTTGAAAATCCATTAGGAATTTGATAATTTTGTGAATTTGTTTGAATTGTATCACAAAATGAATTAGAAAAAAAAGCTGCAGCTAAAGCGCTAGCTCTAGGCGATGAAACAGATAATGTTGTATTGAAAAATTCATTAGGTGTAGATGGTGATTGTTGGCGTATATTCACCTGATTATTTGAATGTATATTTGAATTAGGATGTTGTGGATTACTACCAAAGTTATGATTGATAGTACTGTTAGTAGAACGAGTATTTTGTTGAAAATTGTTGTTCCATTCAGATCTTAATATATCTGTATTTGATGAATTTGGTGTGTAAGAACCTAATGAACGTGGAAATAGATTGTCAAATGCAGAATTGAAGCCAAGACGATTATCCACGGGGAACATAATTTATTCAAAAGATTGATGATGGAAAAGAAGGTGATGAAAAGTTATTTACACAGAACAATGAATAATATTGATTAATATCCTGATATTTAGGTAAGAAACCACTGTCTTCAACACCTCCGTACCGAGTGAATTTATAATTCTTATTCAGCTGAGGATTCACTGATCATCAAATTATCCAGTCGCCAACTGCTTCGTTACTTTTTGAAAAATATATATTCCTTTACAGTTCCACTATTCAAAAATGATTGAATTTCTATTTGTGTAGCGTACTCAGTTATTCACATGTATTCAATAAACACTATCCACTTAACTGATATATGACCTTTCTGTAACGATTTCTCAGACAGGTAAGAAATATGTTTTTCTTGGTAGCTAATGGTGTTGAGTAGAGTGAATACACACCTTAAGTTAATTCGAAAAATTAATTAGTTCCGTTGTTTGAAGGGCTAAAAGAACATTCTATTTACGCTTTTATTGCTACTCTCTTTTTCACTGTAATTAGTTTAATGATGATAGTTGTAATTAGATCGGACGTTTATGAATCAACTATGATAACGATACCAGTGATGATGATAATAATAATAATAATAACTGGTGAAATATAATACTCCTAATTGTATAATCATACGCCGTGGATACAAATGAGTCAGAAATATTGTTTGTTTCTCTGCCTCTGTCTCTCTTACTATCACTTCGGTTTTGTTGACTGTGAATCTATGTACCTCTCTCCCTTTCTTGTGACCACTGCGTAGGTGAATAAGCGTTACGTCCTTCTCTCTGTGTTTGTGTGTGTATGTAGGTTGATATTTTGTCAGTAATAGCACTTGTCGATTAACATGAAGTTTGCAATGACACACTAACAGATAGATAGACTAACAGAGGGATATATCTTATTGACTACTGTGAAAGCAAAAAATATATCTCTTTTAAACACAGTAAACAACTATGTTGCCTACAAAATGTTATTATCTCATTTACCTTTCTAACCAGTTACATGGTTATTCCACTGTTTATCCCCTGTGTTATTCTCTTAGAAGTTTAACCTGTGACTTATACCAACCAATCAGTTGGCCAGTAGAACAGTTATGTATAAATAGGTTAATCAATTTCAACAGTACAGTTATGATTGGTTAACATGAAAAAAGATAACGAAAAGACAAAGTACCTAAAGGGGGAGTAAATACAGTAATAGAAGAGATGAAAATAAGAAAAAATAACCATCGCTTTCTCTGTTGTACAAGATATAAGATGGCAAAAGGGAAATAAACACAATGATATTCTGGCGCCATATTCGACTAGAAGCATATGTTCTTTCTAAAGGTTTTGATTTGTGTTCATCATTTCATCGTTTACACTCAAAAGATCTACTGGCAATTGCTGTATTTGCAATATTCTACAACTTGCGGGCGACATCATGCTCGTACACCTTAGCCTAATCTCACCCTAACAACAACAACAAAAACATTAAAGATGTACTAAAATTTGCGCAAAACAAGCGAATAAATATAAACAATTTGTTTATTAAGAACACCAGTAACTAAATAAATAAGTCGGCTAGTATATGCCCATAAGAAAGAGCAAGGGAGAGAGAAAGAGAGCAAATGAGAAAGTGAAACAGAAGGGAACACGAAAGTTTACTAATAAGCGAATCGCTTCCATCAATTTGTAATATATATAATGGTTCAGTTTATGTAAAAAAAAAATGTTTACGGGTTATACTTTCTCTTCCCCGACCTAAAGGGTGGTTAGCTTAACTAGCATTCGTATAACTTTGTTCAATTACCACTACTAACAGACATGATGATTAGCGCATTGTTGCTACCATAAAGAAAGGCATTAAAGGTTTCTGGTAAGAATCAACTGTTCTATGCTAATACCCGTATTAATAGTCGTCAAAATTAGTTTTTTCGACTTGGAAAGGGTAAACTAAGGTATATACTAGAAAGAGAAGGAAAAGGTATGTAAATAAATGATTACAAATTCTGTTCAACTGTAATTAGTTCTGCCAATAAACAATACTAACCTGATTATATTTATTTTGTTTGTATGTTGTATAAGTTTCATGAATTTATTTGGTATAGGCCACTAAGGTATATTGCTTCATCTAAACGCAAATGCACATTCACGTAGACACCGGGCTACAAATCAAAATTTATATATATATTCATATACATCTAAGAAACCGGAATATGAGAAGAGAATAGCTAAGGTTAACCAACTTGCATTATATAATATTTACCTTTCGTAAACATGGGGAAAAAACCCTCCATAGTTGAAGCAATCTATGCCCATAGATAACGACTAAGGCGAAAGGTGGATTCATAAATCGAGAACTTAACTAATGGTTATCTAGAAGATATGTAGTATAAGAATTCGAATATAATGTTGTTTATGCTCACTTAGTGTTCAGTAAAAAAAGTAAATGAAGTTTATGGCATACTGTAATGTACTTGAATTACATCCTACAAGATTCCGTTCACATATAGATATTTCTGTATGTATTACATGAGCTATAGGATACCAGAAGTATCCACTAGTCGTTTTGCAATTGTCAAATAGTACTGCTACTGCTTACATCCATTTCAGTAGTCTAAACTAATCTATTCTGAAGAGGGGCTGAAAGGAGTAACAACACATGAGTTTTAACTGAAGTTTGATTGCTTTCGATGCGAAAATTCAATTACATATAATGCTATATAGTATGAGTTAATCGGCGGGGAACCTTGCGTCTTGTCTCATGCGTCTTGGAAACTCATCAACGTGACGAATCTACAGCTTTGAGGAGAATAATGATCCCTCGTACGGTTAGATCCACATTACTGAGTATTTCTTCTGCTAATGTTAGCAATACTAGATAGGTAGTCTTCTCAAACGACTTTGATAAACATTATTTATGCGTTATTCCTTGTATTATACAGTTGCTGATTGGACCAAATCGATCAGTCTCTATCGGCATATGGGCTTCTGAGTTCGAATTCCAGTGAGAACAACATCACTCACTAGGAAGCAGGTACATCCAGCTGACGAGTACCAAATACAACTAAATGCGCATCCTGGATTCCACTGCTAGCCACTATAATTTATGCGGTCTTCACTTCTTGTCAACCACAATCGGTAGTCTAAAAAACAAACCTGAGTGAGTATAAAAAGTAATAAAAAAACGGGAAGCCAATTCAGTATTCTTAGATCAATTAACATACAACAGTCTGTAATCTCTATTCAGTAATAAGTTACTTCGACGGAGAATAATAAAAACTACAAGGGAAGATAAGTTTCATAGTTAGACATCAACTCGTTTAATCTCTTTTGTATAACAAGTGGCAAATGAGCTTACAATTTGTACTGATCCTGCAAATCCAGCAAACAATAAAATCTTCTATGTTATCTTAAAAGTATCTAACCAGTGAACTGATACACATTTATTCAAATTAGTCAATTTACACAGTTCTAAGAAACTAGATCGTCCTGTTTCTCTGTTATTAGTTAATCGGTAATTTGAAATGACAATCAGAGGAGATGAACACAAGCTTCAAGTGTAGTCGGTTAAATGGCAAATTTTGCTAAAAGATTACTCTGTTTATTACACGTTTTAAAATAATAAAAGGATGGTCCTTTCCTGCAGTGGCCATCTTTGATTTTTTATAAATTATATTTATTCTAATATGAGACAGTTTTTATAGATCTAGCCAACAACTTTTGCTCCTCGAGAACTTGAAGGTGATTTCCATCAGAACTCTATAAACTATTTTGTTACAAAAACCTCTAGATACTTGACTAGGTACACTGCAATAAAACTGCATTAGAAACCCTACTGACTTCATTTTAGATTTAAAATCACAGATTGTCTTGTTTTGTAATTTGTCCTTTCTTCAGAGCTACTAATGGCGTTTATTAATCAAAAGTAAGCAAAATCTGTGTTCACTAAACTGTCATCTCATGTTTTCTGTTGTTGTTCTCTATCCCTGGATTTCATGCTAAGTTATTGAACTACTGCCTACAAACTTATGCACTCACTTTCGATGGTTCCTTTAGAACTAACTATCTTTAGACTAGACACAAACGTATCACTAATAGGACATTAAAGTAGGTTTGATTAAAATGAAAAATCTATTACTGAATTGTTTCAATACCAATGATCTAAGTATGATCCTGTCAATATTGTCAAAACCTAGTGATTTATTCACGCATTTTTAAAAAATCAATATTCTTCGGCGAACCAGGAAACTGTTGCTGGTGGAATTGTAGTAACTTCCTGCTATTCAGTCGAAAAAAGTTGGTAGAACATTCTCATCAAACTGAGAAGTATGCTTAAAATCGAGTATTTCATGAAGTTTTTGTAAAAAACAATGGATAACTGATTAATTTCAAAGTTATGTGTATTTTTAAATAAGAAGATGGAACTCATGCGCTGACTTCAATCAAGAATAAAAAGGATGCCTAGTGACAATACTCTTGTTCAAGAATTAGAAATCCTCCGAGAAATACTATTAGAGAATGGCTACCCATCCAAGTTTATCGAGCAAAATGTGAAAGAAAAGCAGACTATTGAACAGATTCAGACAGCCCAGAAGAAAATGAATTTAATGAACCTCAGACTCAAAAATGACACTGCTGTGGATATCTCTCTGTGCTGCAAACCTCCGTATTATGTTTTCATGTTAACATTTGATTCTCCAGTGTATGAACGACAAGTTGATGCATTGGGCATCATCTATGTGCATTTACAAGTTCACTTGCTCTTGTGGAGTTGAATGCGTTGACTGTACTACGTGCTCATTTGAAAAATGCACCTGAGAATATTATCTGGCCTGGTTTCTGAAGGGCGAACAGGAAACCATATCCACCTCCATCGTTGATCACATCGAAGAGTCAACCAAACTGTTCAAAAGGAGGTCACGATTAGACAATTATTTGGAGCCGAGGCAATGGCAATTCACAGCTTTAAACCCCAACTATATACTCAAAAGAAACATGTTCAAACACTGTCTACTGTGGTCGTAATCAGATACTCTGCACCTTTGTTAATGTTTTGCTTTTGTATTTCTCCTACTTGTGTCTTTCTTTCTGTCTTTATTTGTACTGGATACCAAACTTTACTGTTCGATGCAACTCATAAGAAGCTATTCAGATCACATCTTAAGTTGCATAATTTCATTTCATTCTTTACGCACATCTATTGATCGAGTCTGACATTTGATTGGAAACTCGTCTGGAACATCCTATCACTTCGTCAGAACATTTATGAATGTATAGCCATGAAACGAGTCGTCGAAGAGATAAGTATCTTGGCTGTAATCTCCTTTTTGTTTTTTTCAAAAAATGATGTAATGTTCTATCCTATGTATGATTTTCTGAACAATATTTCGGTCTTTGTAGAATTGATGAGTCTATGAGACAGAATTAACAGAAATACAGACAGACTGAATTTACTAAGCCTACAATTTTAGTGCTAATCAACACAGCTGATAAACCCTATATTTGCTAGTCACTCAGTATAATGCTCACTTGAGATCAACATCAGATGAACTGAGCAAATTACACTTTGAATCACTTGTGGCTAATGTCTGTTTGATTTATTCCGCCAAAAGTGAGACATGTAACTTATTATTAGTTGCACTCAATCAGTGGATTGTAGACGGAAACCACTTTAGCGGAACTGAGTGGTTAAACTGAAGT